ATATGTTCCTGTTTTTATCGTCTACGGTATCAAGTGTGTATGAAATATTTAGATAAGACAAAGCGACTATGTTTTTTACGCTACTTTGCCAAACAAATGATGTTCAGACATATCTAATAAAATAGACAAACCAGGAAAATGTGTGTTTCATTCATTTTTTACCTGGACTCAGTTTTAATTTTGTCAAAGCATATATATAAATAAATATATATAACTGGGATATGCTGATGATGGAATGTGGAGTGATTTGAAGTGTTCACAATAACATCATTATGGAACAATTACATATATTTTACATGTGATTATGGGAGTGATCTCATCACAGGTGAAAGTGCATTTCAGCATTACACCCTGACTCGATTAAACACGTGACACCATGTGTATAATCTGTGATAAATAAAAGCATGTGAAAAATTTCTGTTAAAAAAATCACATATTAAAAATAAATTAATTAATAAATTACAAGAAAAATGATCATATGTTAAAATAAATGAATCATGTGTAAAAAAAAAAAAAAAAAAAGTTGAGTGGAATGACTAATGTGAAGAATAATGTGTTAAATGTTTTTTTAATCACCTCTGAAAATAAATAAATTGTGTAAATATAAAGAAATCGTGTGTAACACAATCACATGTAAAAAGCAAATTACATAAAAGTTCACATTAAAAATAAACAAATCACGTGTAAAAAAAAAAATACCCAAAGAACAACTGCATAAAATATTAGTAAATCATGCAAAATAAATTAATCATTTAAAAGTTACACGTAAAAATAAATAAATCATGTAAAAAAATCATAATGATAAATGATCAGGTTTATTTTTATGTAAAAAAAAATGTGAAAAAAATGAGTTTATGTGAAAAAATAATATGACTGTAAATTAACTGTGTAAAAAACAAAAATAAAATGAATCACATGGAAAAAAATAAAATAAAATCATGTAAATAAAAAATTAACTGTAAAAATAAATGGATCATGTGTAAAAACCATGTTGAAAAATAAAATCACATACATTACATGTGAAGAATTTTCAGACGATCATGTGATTATTCCCATGTGTGGATCATTAGGCTTTTCTGTAAGAGCAATACTGTGCATGTTATATAGTGTGATTTATCACATTTATGATTGCTTAGTTAATAGATGGAGCGTCTCTAAGCTGTGCACACACACACACACACACACACACACACACATGGTGTGAGTCATCACCTCAGACCAGCAGGTTTCTGGAGCGGATATATTGTTTCTCACTCAGCGTGTCCAGGAACACACACACGCTTTCCTGCTGCTCGAACACGAAAATCCGACTCGGCTCAGTAGCAGCTTCCTGCTGGAGCTTCACACCTGTTGTGTTCACTTCTGTCACACTGACCCAGGACATATATAATTTTTACCTTATATATATATATATATATATATATACATTACCTATAATTATAACATATCCACAAGTCTAAATTTCTACAGACACAGAGCCTTTCACAGCCGATCAGATCACTTCATTTATATTCAAATCATTTTATATATATTTTTTGTTTATTAGAGAAACCAGACTGTTTCTGTAAAACTCCACTGCATTGTGTTTGATTTTTTTTATCCTTGCACATTTCACCTTTCATCCTTATGAAACACCCACACAAAATACAATGATAAACAAAGACTTGTACACACACACACACAGTGCAGTTTGTAAACAAAAAAAACCAGTCTGACTCATCCTCTTTCCGTGTGTTTTAGGTTTTAGTATCTTGTTGCTATATTAACGTGGTTAATTTCTCACTTGGCCATCTGATCACTATCAACAGCAGTGGTTCCTGCTTTGTTTTTTCCTCTCAAGGTCAGACTGATATAATAAACTTGACAAAACCCTACACTTTTTTCTCCAGATACCTGGCCCTACAACAAAAGTAAGTGTGAGGTATGGAGCAAATTTTTAAACATAAATGCACACCATCTAGAAAACACAATGTAGTTCAATTAAATTCTACTTTTTATTTCTCTTCAATTTAACTGGCTTACTAACTAGGTCACTTGCTATTTATCTAACTAACAAAGTAAAACAACAAAATGATTGGGTAGTTCAGGTAATAAAACTTTTTTACACAGCTGTGTGAAGAGTTTGAAACATTAGTTTCAACATTAGTTTTGGGCAGGGGATTTTCTCCCTAATTTATGCTTGGCCAATTCACACCCACCAGTCAGGTTTCCTCTATCATACAACAGATACCAACCAGGGAGAGTAACACATGCTTCCTCCATAAAGCCAGCTTAACAGTTCTTTTCTGGGGAAGGCATGAGCATACATGAGAGAGAGTGTATGCCCCTACAATGCTGCATAGCCAATTATGCTCTCTTGGTCTCCTGGCCATGAAATGGTGAACACTACTGTTGCACCATTCTGGAGATGAAATTTTAGTTATTTTAATATTATCTCATATGCAAAGGATTCATAGAAGTTCTAAAATGCATAGAATTGCCAGTACACATAAGAAAATTGGTATTTATCACATTCAGCTTGTGCACAGCCACACTCATATGCATAAAGTGTAGTAGGCATTAAGGGAACGGCCCTTTCCTGGCTCAGGTCTTATTTGACTGATCGTTATCAGTTTGTAAACGTAAATGGTGACTTCTCTTCTCATGCTAAGGTAAAGTTTGGTGTTCCGCAAGGCTCTGTTTTAGGCCCACTGCTCTTTTCTTTATATATGCTACCTCTGGGTAAAATTATCCGTAAGCATGGTATTAGCTTCCACTGTTACGCTGATGATACACAGTTGTATGTTTCAGCAAAGCCAGATGACAGACACCAGCTTAATAAAGTTGAGGAATGTGTAAAAGACATTAGAAACTGGATGTTTATTAACTTCCTTTTACTTAATTCTGACAAGACAGAAGTACTTGTACTAGGACCACATGCAGCTAGAAGTAAGCTTTCTGATTACATAATAACTCTGGATGGCCTTTCTGTTTCATCATCTGCAGCAGTAAAAGACCTTGGTGTGATTATCGACTCTAGTCTTTCTTTTGAAGCTCATGTAGATAATATAACTAGGATTGCTTTCTTTCATCTCAGAAATATTGCTAAAATAAGAAATAT